GACACAATCCAGTCTTGTAGATCAGGTCCTGCCTTACTAACACAACTGCCACCCATCCTCCCTCATTAACATCATAGAGGCAGGTTTACAACATACAGGAACGTTCCACAGTACCAGGAATCATGGCCTAGCCAAACTGATACACACATTTTTTGGGGGACACAATTCAAACCATGACAAAGGAAGAAGTTCAAGCTGCACTGAAGCATTGTCAAAAAACAAGTCTTCATGGATTGACAGAATACCAATTGATACGTTTCAACAAATGGATGTAATGCTGGAAGCACTCACTCGTCTATGCCAAGAAATTTTGAAGACAGCTACCTGGCCAACCAACTGAAAGAGACACATATTTGTACCCATTCCAAAGAAAGGTAATCCAACAGAATGCGGAAATTATCGAACAATATTAATATCACACACAAGTAAAATTTTGCTGAAGATCATTCAAAAGCGGTTGCAGCAGTACATCAACAGGAAACTGCCAGAAATTCAAGCCTGATCCAGAAGAGGATGTGGAACAAGGGATATCATTGCTGATGTCAAATGGAGCTTGGCCAAAAGCAGAGAATACCAGAAAGATGTTTTCCTGTGTTTTATTGACTATGCAAAGACATTTGACTGTGTGGATCATAACAAATTATGGGTAACCTTGTGAAGAATGGGATTTCCAGAACACTTAGTTGTATTCCTGAGGAACCTGTACATAGATCAAGAGGCAGTCGTTCGAACAGAACAAGGGGATACTGCATGACAGTACCCTATGGATTTGGCACTGACTCTCTGCTGGGGACTTGCCAGTAGGTCTTACCCCTGAGCCCCACCAGGTGTGCAGCTGTCTTAGGTGTCAGCTTACAGACGCACAGCCTCCGGTGTTGAGGACTCTGGTGCCAGGGCCTGATATATCATCTACACTGATGTTGACACGGGCAGGGAAAGACAGAAGAAGGGCAGGCAAATTCATGTCAGCTGGGGGGCACTGGAAATTGAGCCTTGACAGTATTTGCATCTATTCTAAGAAGAGGCGGCCCCTGTTCAGAGTCTGGGTCCTCGACTCTGACCCAGCCTGTGCACTCGGGCAGTTGGAGGGACACACACACATACAAAGCAACCCTCTGGGAAGTACTGAGATCTTTCAGAGCAGCTCAACGGGAACTACTTTGCAGTCTTGGGACCATCTGGCCTGTCTTAGGCTGGGTTCTCTAGAGAAGCAAAACCAGTAAAGTGTATAAATATATACATAGAGAGAGATTATATCAAGGAAACAGCTCATGTGAGTGTAGAGGCTAGAACGTCCCAAGTCCCTGGATCAGGGTAGAGGCCTCTCCCAAGTCACACAGCTGCAGAAGCTGGCAAGCCCAAGATCAGCAGGTCAGAGAGCAGGGTTCCGGCCCACAGGCTGTGCAAATCGACAAATCCCTGGTTCGGCAGATAAGCTGACAGCTCAAGTCCCAAGAACGGGAGATGAGACAACAGGAAGCAGCCACAGGATACAGAGAGAGCAAAAAGCCAGAACATCTGCTTATATACAGATGCAGGCCACACCTCCAAGGAGACTCCCTTTCATCTGATTGGCTACTCATAGTATATTCAGTCATGGGAGTGATTACATTAAAACAGTGAGAATCATGGCCCAGCCAAGTTGACACACAATCTTAACCATCACATGGCCCATGGGAGAGATGAATGGAGATGACATGGACCCTGGTCCCCCAGTGTTGGAGAAGAGGGCCATTGTCCTGGCTGGTATCTTGTTCTTTTTGTGCCTGGTGGCAGTGGTGGGTAATGACTTCACCTTTGCAGCCCTGGGCATTGAGTGGTTGCTGAGGAGGAAGCTGTCACCTTGCGGTAAGTTGCTGGTCAGTCTGGGGGCCTCACGCTTCTGCCTGCAGTGGGTGGTGATAGAGAAGAGCATTTATCTCTTTCTCTACCCCAGGGCCTTCCCCTACAACCTCATGATGCAGTTCATCACCTTCCAGCAGGACTTCTTGAACGCCGTCACCCTGTGGTTCTCCACCTGCCTCAGCGTCTTCTACTGTGTGAAGATTGCCACCTTCATGCACTCGGCCTTCCTCTGGCTCAAGCAGAAGGCATCCAGGTGGGTGCCATGGATGCTGCTCAGCTCTGTCTGGATCTCCAGCCTGAGCACCATCCTGTTCTTCATCGGTAACCAGTGCTTGTAGCAGAACCACTTACTGAGAGACCTGCACGCAGGGAACAACACTGGGAATGGCATGAGGAGGTTCTATGAGAAGTTCTACTTCTTCCTGCTGAAGATGGTTATCTGGACTGTGCCCACCGTTGTCTTCCTCGTAGGCGTGGTTCTGCTCATAACGTCTCTTGGCAAGCACGCCAGGAAGACCCTTCTCATCATCTCGGGGTGCTGGGACACCAGCGCCCAGGCCCACTTCAAGGCTCTCTTGGTCCTTATCTCCTTTGCTGTCCTCTTCATCTCCTATTTCCTGTCACTGGTGCTCAACTCTGTAGGTGTCTTTCCGTTTCAGGAACTCTAGTACTGGATGTGGCAGGTGGTGATCTATGTGTGCATGGCTGTGCACCCCGTCATTCTCCTCTTGAGTAAACCCAGGCTCGGAGCCTGCTGCAGAGGAGGTGCTACCCAACGTCTGGGACATCGTGAGTGACAAGCCTCAGACAGACGCTGACACAGAGGCAGAGCATGATGGGACATTGCTTCTCTCTCTGCACTTTCCCTCTCTGCCACATAAAATGATTAGAAGAACAGCTTCAGTGATTTCCAAGTGAGATCTAAGGCTTGCATCATGGGCTCATGTCACTAACAGACACTCGGCAAGAGTGGAGTTAATGTGGGACCTGGTGTGGCCAGAGACTCAGGGAACACCTGCTTTCCCTGTGGCTGACCTATCGGTGTTTAAATTGTCCTCCTGGGAACTGGGCACAAGGACTCTGATGCATCACGCAGTAGTCGAGTCAGACTGGACAAGGTTTCTGGAACCTCAGCTTTCCTCTGGCTTCATCTTGCGACCACCTTTCCCTTGTCATACTTAGCGGTCTTCTGGCAGTGCCAGCTCTTCCTTTCTGTGACAGTTCCTGGTGCGTGACCTGCTAGTCTGAGCTTCCTTCACTGAACATGGTGCAATGTGTGGGGCTGTGTGTACTGTCTGAGTCTGAGGCCCCCTGAGTGCTGGGCTGATGGTTTATACGTTGTTCTGTATAAGGTCATGGTCTGTTTGTCTGTTCCAGGCTAAAGTCCACGAGTGTGGCTGTCCCTTCCTCTTTCATGTTGACATTGGGACCTAGAGCTGTTTCTAGTTCGTGAAGGGTGTTCGGGCTGCTTTTTGGTCTTCCCCGGCTCTTCTCAAACCTCCCCTGAGCTCAGGTTCACGCTGAGATCCTCGCCTTCCCTGATTCACGTTAAAACCTCTCCACCGTATTTCTTGGTTTTCATACCCCCTGCAGTGCAAGACCAGTACCAGTCACCCTTGAATGATTTTTTCCTGTTCCTGAGGATCCTAGCTTAGCTTAGACTGTCCCCGCCTCTCACCTGGACTACTTAAATTTCTCTTCACCACCTGCTCCATCACCCCAGCTGCTCCATCACCCCACCTGCTATCCAAACTTCTGTCACCAGGTTAATCTGAAGCAAGGCCCCTCAACTGGGCATTCAAGGACCTCCACAACAGAGCGACAATTTTATCTTTCATTGCTTCCATGCTAATAAAATCTTATTTTGCAGTGAAATTAGGGTTATAATTTTTTCAAGTCTGAACTGGAGCTTTCTCACTACCATACTGAAATGTGCTCTCTTATCCTCACATCTATGTGTCAAAACTTTCCTTAGTTTTTTTCCCCATTTAGCTCTTAAAGGGTAATTCCAACGGCACCCTTTCCCTTTCAGTGCAGCTGTGCGGGATGCCCCCACGCCATGGTTTCTACCACCTTTGAGGATATATTAATGGGGTGTTCCCCTACTGTGACAGAAATTCTGCCTTGTGGTGTTATTTGCATACTTGTCTTACCCCCTCTAGTAAATTTTAAATGTCTTGAAGGCATGGCTGCCCTGTACTTCCACGTGTCCTCTGAAACCCGCAGACATGATTGATGCATTGCACAGAATTTTCTCCTTATTCCTGGAATCCTGCTGTCACCCACAGGGCTTTGTCTGTAGTTTATCTCTGAGCTACCCACTACGTTTTTTTTTTTTTTTTAACTTTTTATTTAGGAATAAATATAGATTCACAGGAAGTTGCAAAGCTAGTACAGAGAGGTCCCTTTTTCCTTTGCCAACACCACCCCCCCCCATTGGTTACATCTTATAAACAGAAGAAATTTGAGATAATGCATTTGCTCTTTGAAAAAGTTCAAATGTGTAGATTTAACAGGAGTGTATTGGTGGTTCAGCGGTAGAATTCTCACCTTCCATGAGGGATACCCGGCTTCAGTTCTCAGCTGGTGTACCTCGTGCACAGCCACCACCTGTCTCTCAATGGAACCTTGTGTGTTGCTGTGATGCTGAACAGGTTTCTGAGGAGCTTCCAGACCAAGAAAGACTAGGAGGAAAGGTATGATGATCTACAGAAAACACTCACTATATTTTTATGTCTATATTGAAGCTGCATTCTCTTCATTGTCTGATGGGCTGATTTTTGAGGTCAAACTTATATTCTGCTCCTCTTTGGCTTATGCATAATGTAGAAATAATAAACGGGTGAGTAAAATTTGCCCAATTTTGAGATCCTTGGCCTTCCTTCTTTCTTGCACCTTTACATGTTGCTAAGCAACTGTGAACGGCAGGTGAGTGCCATTTCTCCTCGTTGTGACTGATCCGGGCTCCCTTTCCAAAGCATCCTATATAAGCTACTCTTTTTTCCCTCCACTCTTTAATTTACATTGTTAGCCTGGGCGACAGAACATCCACCAGAATCCGAATGATCCTCCTACAGCGAAGGGCTCCCTTGGAGCTTGGACATACAGGGAAGATAAGAGAAGCAGGACCTGGTGTATTTTTAAAGTATTTGGTAACATTATTATTATCATTCATTTTTGCTCCAGTCTAATTTCACTACATATGATGGTGATGGCATTAATAATCATTTGTTGAATACCTGTTTTTCATGAGTCATGGGACTAGGGTCTGTCTTCCAAGGCTCCTCTGGGTGGTCCTCGAACCTTCAATCTTTCAGTTAGAGTTGAGTGCCTAACCATTCGCACCACCGAAGGACTCCAGCAGTGTGGTACTGATGTAGGATCAGACAAGTAGGTCAACAGAGAGTCCAGATGACAGTTATATGGAAAATTATATCGGATAAGTAAAGTATTTTAAATCAGAGGGGAAAGATGGACCTTTTAAGAGCACTGCAACACATTGGTATTCCAACTGGAAAACAAAAATACTTTCAACTTTCTATCATAAATTCCAGATAGATAATCTTTAATTTTAATCCAAATGTGATTGAATTTTTTTAAAGCCCTGTTTTCTTTTTCAAATTTCAATTTTCTCTGTATTTTATTCCATATACTGCCTTTAAGCTTGGCAGAAGAGTTGACCATGCCCCGCCTGCCTCTTGTGGATGTCACTGCAGAGTGTGAACCCACTGTTCTGCTCCCACACACATGAGAAGACCTGTTTCCACAGCCCTTCTTAAGTCAGACTCAAAATATCACGTCATTATGGAAGTAGCTGGTAAGTGTGACTGCACAAAAATTAAAACCTTTTCTATGAAAAAACACTGTGAATGTAGGGACCACTGAAGTCCTTTTTTAATTTTAAAAGAAAAGTCAAAGACTGACAAAAAATATTTATATACATTTTTAAAAGGTAATAACTAATGTCTCGGATATATAACGAGGTCCTGCAAGTCAATCAAAAAAATACAAGCAACTTGATAGAAGTGTGGTTAGACAACAACAATGGGTAACTCACACAGGAGGAAAGACAGACAGCCAAGTACACATGGGTATGAATATTTATATACCTCACTGTTGACGCAGATTAGAACAACAGGAAGTCTACTTCTATAAACACAGCTGCCTAAGTCAGTAGTTTCCCCCTTCTTTTTCTGGAAATCACATAAAAGCAACCAGAAGACAGAAAAGGACCCTGAAAGTTCCATTTCAGTGACACTAAGAAACAGGTAGGTCCCTGGGTGACGAAAATGATTTGTACTTGGCTGCTAACTGAAAAAACAGACCCTTTGCCATGGAGTTGGTTCACCAGGAATCTGACTCAGCCCCAATGCAAAGGTCTGGTTTTTTGGTTTTGGAAAGAGACAGAGAATCCACACATCTCACATTATATGAAAGCACCATCAAACACAAGTGAGAGCAGGTGGAGTCAAGACAGAAAGTGACAAGATGGCTGGAGTATGGGGAGAAGTGAGAGAGTGGAGGGATGGGGGGGCATGGATGAGGGGTTAGGGACAGGCCCAAGAAAAAGCCAGCAAAAATACACTCTCTTCATAAAAGAGACTTCATACAAGCCCCTCGGTATGCATGAATTGTCTATTGCTGTGTACAAAGTTACCCCAAAACTTAGTTCCTTTAAACAACTATCAGCTCAGGGTTTCTGTGAGTCAGGGATCCAGGCGTGTCTTCTTAGCTGGGCCCTCTGGTTCTGGGTTTCTCACAGGCTTCCCTTATCTCAAGGCTGGACTGGGAAGGATCCGCTTCCTAGCTCACTCATGTGAATGTTGGCCGTTTTCAGTTCGTCAGGGGTCATTGGTCTGATGCCTCAGTTCCTCATGAGATGTTGGCGGGAGCCCTCCTTCAGTTCCTTGCCACAAGGCCCTCAGAGCATCTCAGGTCATCAGAGTGAACAAGTGAGGGGGCAACAGAGAGGGAAAGTGAAAGAGTCAGCAAGGAGGGTGGGGAGGGAGAGGGAGGAGCACGAGCTAGCCAGGCAGAAGTTGCAGGCTGTTGTAACCTAATGGATGATTTTTTTCATCATTGCTCACAGTTAGTAACTAATAGATGTGGTCTAAAGAATAGAGGACTGAGAGAATTATATAAAGCTTATAAAGTGAAGCACTAGAAAAAAAAATATATACTTTTGAACGATTAATAGAACCAGCAACAAAAACAAAGAAACAGATAACATAACAAAAATCCTAAAAAAAGTTTAAAAGCAAATATAAAATAATGTCCCAGAAATGAGATCAAACATACTGTACATACAATTAGATGAAAATGTTTTACACCTAAAAGAGAATGATCTTCATATTGACCCAAAAGCCAAAGCATGACTCTATGATATTTATAAGAGCCATAAACAAAGCAAAATATTACAGAAAGGTGGAAAATAAAAGAATGAAGAACAGCATGTCAGGTAAATGCAAAGAAAAGAAATTCATGCCTAAAATTATTAAATGAGATAACAGGGTAAGTTTTTAATGTTAAGAGGTATAGTGCAAAATTAAAACACAATTAGTATGAATATCTATATACCAAATAGATTAACAGTAATATTTACAAAGAAGAAATTATAGGAAATACAAGAACTGTAGGCAGAAATACTGAAAGTAAAAAAGCCTTTAATTATCTTTGTCAAGCAGACAAAAAATAAATATAACAAAATAAATTAGCTATTATTGATGGATATTAAACTCTGTACACATCCAGAAGCCCCATGTTCTTTGAAAATACCATGGAGTAGTTATGAAAACCA